CATTAGAAAAACCTATAGCAAATAAAAACCAAGAAAATATCTTAATTTCTCATTTATTTCAATTATTTATTTATTTATTTAATTATTTCAACACTTTAGAATTAAAAACACAATGTTTTTTGTGTTTTATACTTCTGTTGTCTATCTATAAAACGTTTGCAGTTTTTTACTTTTTCTTTCTGTTCTTCGTTTTCTGTATGTATAATAATAATACTTATATAAACCTCTTTCTGTTTATGAATTTAAAACATTATATTTTCTGTATTTTTAGTCATGTGATTATGTTTTTATTTAATTTTTTGTGTTTTCTTTTTGACCAATTTCATCGACTAATTTTATTATTTCTCAAATGTTTAATCAAAATATTTTGATTTCTTAATTTCTATTTTGGGTTTAACAACGCAATTAACGAAGTGCGTTAACAGCCTAGTGTATTTTATATTTTCAATGTTGGTGACAATGATGTTGGACAAGTAAATTGCTTTTAATTTTTATAACTAAAAATATGGTCTTGTTTTTTCTTAAGAAGCTAAATAAATTATTGCCGATGTTACGATTAATAAAAATTAAATGTTTTGTTTCAATTTATTGAAAATCATGTAATTCGGTGTAATAGGATATTGTAGTCAAAAGTTGTATGGGAAAAAGTTTGAGGATCAAAGGCATCTATCTCCAAGAGTACACACATAATACATACGAGATTTTATAGCTCTTTGAGTCTACAAAGTGTAGAAGCAAGGTGAGCTAAACAAATTTAGTTTTAATATAAATGATAATTAGAAAGTTTGTTTAGTTTGTAAAGAAACAAGTTTCGAACTTTAGTTGCAGAAAGCTGATGCTAAGGTGAAGCTAACATGAAACTTACCCGTAATTCTCTAAACATTAAATTTTTGAACTATTAATTTTAATGTTAGAGTAATAAAACACAAAAAGTCTGATCAATCTTTTGAGATTTCTTTAAAAACACATTGAGTTCTGAAAAAACTTTTACCATTTATTGTAAAACATTTTATTTTTCGACACTGTCAAAATTTACGGTTTCTCTCCCGTGTAAGGAAGTTTTGGCAACTGTTTGGCATTTCTCAATACGAAACGTTAGATTATTTTTAACAGATTTAAGGCAAGTTTAATTCTTTTTGAGTCTAATTTGAAAAACAAAATGTTGTATTCAACTTGTTACACTCGTGGTTTAAAAATGCATTCGATGAAATAATACGTCCGATTTACACTCAAACTCGTAGAATAAATAACTATTATGTGGAAAGTTGACATTTCAACTTCATTTAACAATTTACATGAAATATATTTACAGTTCAAGCTGGAAAGTGATCACTTCTTTATCAGTTCATATGTAATATAATATGATTGTTGAGGTTGGGAAATAGCTACTTCCCCAACCGAAAACTGATATGAAAGTGACCACTTCCCAACCTGAACTGTCATAGCAAAACTAACAATTTTTCTTGATATGCCAGTTTTGACAGTAAATCTAGCTGCATGTTTCTCCGTTCCAATGGAGGAGATAAAATTTTTACTTCTCTGGAGGTAATTAGCCAATAAGGTACAAAAACTTACTTTCTCTTAGAGTCATAAGAAAAATATATTACGTAACCTCTTAGGGAGGTAAAAATTTTACCTCCCTCATAGAGACGAAAAAACATGCTGTTAGATTTAATGGCAAAATTCAGATAACGGATTTTGTTAGTTTTGAAGTTTTTCTTGCTGGATTGTACGAAAAATTATACATATGTATTACATAGGAGGAAAGTGTTTTTTTCTTCCTGGAAGATTATTGCCGTCGACAAGTCTCGAGCAGTAGGTGCCACCTGTCATTTTTAAAAAAATTTCTGAGACACAGTTGGACATGTTTCAAATTAAATATATGTTTTTACACAGTTTGTTTGCTAAATAATCAACATGATGTTTCCAAGTCAAGTTTGAATCAACAGAGTATTCGGTCCAAGTCGCCCCGGCCGATAACACATAAACTTACTTTTTTTTTTCGAAAACTAAATTTTCAAATAATACTATTATTCCTCGTTTTCTGAGTAAATGCATCAAATTTTTTTGGCACATCCGGTGTGACGGAAATGCTACCAAATTTAGTTTTTCAAATGGAACACCTATGTTTTTTGTTCGAAACAATAATAATTTGCATGAAAAATATGGTAAACCACTATTTATTACATTTTACTTTACATAATGCACTCAGCAAACAATTTAAATTTTTGAATTTTATTGCAAATTTTGCAACGTAGGCGGATTTTACTTTCAAGGTATTCATGCAAAAAGCAATATGCTTGGATACCGTTTAATTGTTAGTTTGACAAAGCCTAATTTGTCAATAAATCTTATTGAGATCTTTAATAATGGATGATATTAATTACGACAAATTGGTAGATCAGTTTGAAGTGTTTTTTAAGTGCAATAGATTTGTCAAACCAACAATTAAACTGTATCCAAGCATTTTTTTTATTCACACCTTTCCTTTAAAATTGAAAATCAGGATACGCGACCAATTTCCTTATAAAATTCTAAGATTTAAGATGTTTTTTGATTGCATTGTGTTACGCAAAATGTAATAAATAGTCGTTTACAGTATTTTTCATGTCAATTATGATTGTTTGGAGGAAAAAAAAACATAGGTGTTCTATTTGAAAAACTAAATTTGGTAGCATTTCCGGCAACACCGGATGTGCTAAAAAAATTTAATACATTTACTAAGAAAGCCAAGAATAAATATTATTACTTAAACATTTACTTTTTGAAAAAAAGAAGGAAGTTTAGCTGTTATCAACCGGGGTGGCTTGGACTTAAGAAGACTCAAGAATTTAGTAAAGTTTGTATCAGAGTCATCATTATCTAAGTTTTTTAGAGTAAATGTTAATTTAACAGTTTTATTTTTATTAAGGTTTAATTTATTAGCTAACATCCATTCTTATCCATTCTTCAGTAAACGCATAAAAATTTTCAATTTTTCTTAGAAGTATTTCTATGTTCTTATCAGCGTAATCAAGAGTTGTATCATCCGCATATATGACTATATTCGGTTCTGAGATGTAATAAGAAAAATCATTTATGTAGATCAGAAACAATAAAGGGCCTAATATTGACACCATGAGAAATTTCTTTTGCAGCGGACAGTCTGCCATTGATATTTACGACTTGAGTTCGATTACTTAAATATGGTTGGATCATAGATACAGCATGCGTTGAAAAACCGTAGAAAGGTAATTTTTTATTAATATATCGTGAGATACCGTATCGAAGGCTTTACTTAGATCTAAAAACAGTGCCTGATAATGGTCCTTATTTTCAAAAGTTCGGATGACATTATTTATTAACTCAAGAACAGCTGTAGTTGTGGAATAGCCTTTTCTAAAGCCATACTGGTTCGCTGATAAGAAATGATACTTTTCTGTATGGTCAATCATTTGATTAAATAAATAAACAAATAATATGTATACAAATAACTAATAATACGCAAAGCGCTTGAGGCTTTAGGAATGATTTGTGTCATTGTTGGCAATCACTTATTTATTAGTTTGAAAATTTTTTTTGAGTTCCTCTATAGTGAAAGAATTTTTATTTCCCCGACTGTCGCCTACTAAATCGAATAATTTTGAAAGTCTACATAGTCCGGAGTTAATCGTTTTTCCGGACAAAAAGCACCGCTTTTTCCGACTGTCCTTCCCGAAATCTGTCTAAATACCCGCTATGAATTTGTCTCAGCGATAAAAAAAGCGATAAGAAGTTTCGAGTTCTCGCTCGGCCGACTCTTCTGAAACCGAAATCGTGTCTTGCGTCTCAACATTTTAAAAGCTTCCGTATAAATCAGCTAACTAAAATACGTTTCATTCCTTAAGACTGAAACAGCATATTTCAGAAAGTGGGTAACTCGCGTGAGAAATTCGGGCTGCTTTCTGCCCCTATTCCGGGTATTTGTTTATCGTCGCCCTCCCCCTATGAAGCTGTATAACAAAGGCATCGACACTGTTTATCTCAACACTCTGTGTCAATATTGTCGAGGACGTTCGTGAAAGACAGTGCCGGCATTAATTCGCTGATGATGCTGATGGTGGTGGTGCTAGTGCGCGAAAATGTCGAACGGGTAGAATAGATCCACTGGGCCGTATTTACGAACGGGGATTTATCGTTTAGCGCGGACAAAGACGGCTTGTTTGCTCTTTACAATTAGGACGCATTGTTGCTGGAAATGCTTAATTGCCTACAAGAAAAATACAAATGTGACCGAGGCAACGGTTTTAATTTGATTCCAACGAACGCTACTTCATTGTCGCGACTAAAAGCAAAATTCAAAGATAATAATCGTTGTAAAATTAATAAAACACAATACAACAATATAAAGTAGCAAAAAATAAATTTTGAAATCATTTCTTGAAATCATAGGTCAGTAAAAAATAATAATTGATATAAATTAAAATAATACAATAATTATGATCGCATTTTGTGAACGAAATTATAGATTGCATTTTAAATTTGGGTTTCCATTTTTTATTATTTTATTTTTTTATAATCCGAAAGTGTTTTTTGTGCGACTCAAGCCATTTACCGTGTTGCCAATTAACTGAGTGTATTATGCATCATATTTTGCCCTGGGAATATGCTGATGTTGTCCGTTGAAACATGTTATGCCCCTACTCGTTAAAATCTCTCGTACTCTCACGGAGTGCATGTCGACAGTTCGTTATGCAAAACTACATAATTACGTTCCGTGTCATCATTGTAACATTATTTTGGATCAACACAACACAAAAACGATGTTTTTTTAATAATCCCGAAAGCGCGTCACTGGAGAGAAAAAAACTGTCAATTAAGAGAAATGTGAATGCTAAATATTTTGGTGCAATGCCAACAAACACTGTTATTTTAAAATTCATTCCAATATTGATAATCTTCGGGAAACTTGGGTTTTTCCGTTACAGCTTTGATGTTGATTTTATTGTAAAATTAATTCAATTGGCCTTTTTCTCTTCCAGATTCGTATAAATCTCATGGATGGATATTCTGGAACTTAACAAAATAAACGCCACTCCTCAGAAGATTAAGAGTAGTCAAAAGTAAGTACTGATTAACTTGAAACAAAGCTAATTGATGTGTACTTGGCGTGTTTTAATTAAATTAATTTTAATTACAAATCAACATCTGGTTTTTGGGCTTCCAAGTTACATTAAATTTCTTGTTTTATTCTTTTTTGTAACTTCCTGAATTCAAAATTGACTCAAATAGAAGTTCGTAACTGTTGTATAATGCGTCACAACGGCAACAGACCGTCGACCTTCATTAAAAGTGATCCCAAACTTTCCCTATCATAACTCACAAAACCACCGCTAGAAAATTTATCGTCGCGGTAAAAAAGTCTCTTGTTTTACAAAAATCGAATTGCTCTCTTCGTCTATTTTACAATTACCTTTCGCTGGAATGGTATTAAATTCCATTGGCGCCGAATCAATTTAAACAAAAGGCTATCGAGAATGTCAGGACTTTTTGCGTTCGTCTTTCTATTGTTCACAGCAACGCCGCCACCACGTCCTTCCTGTTCGGCCATAATGAAAAAAATCAGCCTCCGATATCGATTCATTTACGCGCGCCTTCCGGTTTAATGAATTTAATTAGGGCCGGCGACAGACGTAAATTACAATTTGCCACTGTCGTGCCTATTTTTTCGCTCGCTGTGGCCATTAGAAGCGACTGCTGATGGCATGTTTTTCAATAAACGGCACAACAGGGGCCACTTACACGGCCTATAGCCCGAAAAGAATTTTTCACATTGTTAAAAGTGACGGAATAGCAAGGAACACGAGGTGCCTGTTGCATTCGCGCTTTTTTTCTGTTGAGTTCAGAAAATAATAATATAAGTACAAACCGAAGAGTAAACCACGGTGGAATTATAGTCTACAAGTTGGTTTATTTGAAATTATTTGGAATTATTTAGAATCATTGTTTGAAATTTTTTGGGATTCTTAAGAATTCCCTGGAGGTAGAACTCTACAAGAGAACAACTTTTCTATTTCCAACTTTTGCTAAAAAATTAAAAATAAGCTGAGCTAAAAATCCGTCTCCGCCTATGTCTCCGCCTTAATACGATATTTACATTCATTCATAAAACAAAAACTATGGAACGTAAACAGCGTAAAAACAAAAAAACTATCGTTACATTAAGTTATATCAAGTCAGTGGATCAATACTTGCTATTATAAAACATTGCTCGAAATGTGGTCCTTTGTTGGTAATGCACACTTGTACTCTTCGGGCTAGGGAAGCTTGCGTTCGCACACAGCCCTTCGAAGGTATTAATTTGAGTTGTAAACACTAATTTACTAATTGTTTCATATGACCCTCCCAAAAAAAAACACACGTATTTAAATCTGGTGACTGCGGTGGCCATGCAACTGGACCTTGGCGACCAATCTATCTCTAGGGAAAATGATTGTTTAATATCGCTTTTGACTCACGACAAAATTAATAAGTTTTTCCATTTTTTAAAAAAATGTGATGAAAGTGTTAAATAAACATTTCTATTTGACTTTTTATGTAGTAGATGATATAACTGGTTGTTTACTACTCGAACTAATAATGCATTAATATCATATGTTTTAAAAGTAGTAAACAGACAAGAAAAGTAATTTCTTGGTCTTGAAACCAGCATTTGCGAGTCTAGTTTCTCTTAGTTTTAATAAGACAAGCAAATAACAAAGCTCAAACCAATATTATTACAATCTACCCTTTTCGAGCACTACTTATCGAGACGAAAGCACTCAAATCGAAATTGTTGGGAAAAGCTGCACTAATTGACTTAAACGATGCTAACAGGGATATCAACTCGCATTTTACATTTGAAGTGTATTTTGTAACAATACTAACTAGATTGATGACTAATTACCCTGGAAGCAATTATTATCCAAATCCATTTCAATCAGGAGAAAAGAGAGCTTCACTCGTGATAATTAACCCTCAGTTCCAAATTAATAAACATTAATTTAAACGAGCTAAATCGAAGAATCGCCCCGCATTGTGTGCTTTTTTCCCTAATATTCTTTATCGAGTTTATCACTCGGACATTGGTTTTTACTTAATTCGGTTTATTTTTACCGCTGATGGACTGTCGGTAATTGATAGTAGTGTAATAACATGTCCACAGTGAGAGAGGACCAGCTGTGTTCCACGCTTGATGATTGATTGCTTTCTAATTACATTATTCATTGGTGATTGACACGTTCTGGTCCTCACGGTTGCATGCATGCGTCACGTTCGAGCAACACCCGATGGATAGTCTTGCCCTCTCATGAGGGGTTATTGAAAAACATGTCATCAACACGGATACGCTAATGGACACGGGGGAGGGGTGAAGGATGGCGAAAACTGAAACTGAAACTCTTGATTACTGTCTTATGTTTTCCTTCAAAAACAATACTAATATAAGATAACAACTCCTGCAATAAATTGAAATAAGTCAAAAATTGTCTTCAAATAATAGAATCTTTAATCGAAACTAAAAGTAGCTAACATAATGATGATACAAAACACAATTTTGTAAAACAATGTTAAAATTCTGAAAAAATATCATGATCATATCATGAAAAACAAAGCTAATGTTTTTAGAAAAATTTAATAAAAAGGTTTAAGATCTCAAAAAATTGAAATGTTACTTGGGTTTTAGTTTTTTTTCTATTTCTATATAATTTTTATAAAATTTTTACGTAAAATATACAATGTATTTAGTTTTGTTTAAATTAAAAAAAGCAATAACAACTTTAATGTTACAAGTGTTTCAGAACTCGCGCCCCATAGAAACATTTCAAGTATGATAAGGTACATACCAGGAACTGAAAATGTTTAAATTTTGTCAAAAAATTTTGACATTTTGTATGTTTTTTCTTAAATATTTAGTAAAGGCAGAAAAATTTTGTCAATAAAAATCACAAATAACATTAGACAGACTTTCAATTTAGGCTACAGCTTCCTTGTGCTTGTTTCCTTTTCCAATAGCCTGTAGCAAAAAAACTTAAAAAAATATTTTTCCAACAGAAATAAATGGAGTCAAGGTGCAAAATATAAACCCTAAATTTCGAAATCTTTATAGAGAGAACATTTATTCCATGTTCCTGGTATTTTATCTTACATGACACTCTTCTATGGGACGCGATTTCTGGCGCACCCTTGTTGTTGTTATTGATTTCAATCGGTATTAATTTTGAACCGGTGCTGATTTTTAGAAACTATTTTAATCTAATAAATCTAGCGTGTTCTACTTTAAAAATTCCTCTATTAATAAAATTGAAAATTAAAGAAAGCTGCGCTGGATTATAAACCTGAAAAGTTAAGTATTTATAGCATATTTACGTCTTTTTGTTGAGTGACTATTTTAGTAATCGGTGACAGTATTTTACTCATTTTTTTACAAATATAAAAAATTAGCTGGATTGTCGGCTTTTTAAACACTAGATTAAGTTTGTCATCAAAAAATTATAAATCAAGTTTAAACGCGTCCAAGTTTTGCGTCTAAAGTTGTCGTTAATTATTTCCTATTTGGAAAGAGCCCTCGTCTTTGCGAGTTCATAAAACTGTAGGTGGAAACTTGCTATTGTATTTGGTAAACTTTTCTCTGCTGCTTATGTTTTTCCACTTTTGTCCCATCATCCATCATTCTTACTAATCCGGCTCACTGCCAAAACCCGACTTTTCACCGAAAAAAAAACACGATTTATTTATTCGTTTAATTTGAGGGCCGGTAAACCACACCGGTTAAATTTATATACAACAACAACATCATAAAATTAATTAACTGAACGAGAGGGGCTCCTCTCGGGAGCTGCAGCAATTTTTAATTTCGTTTTAAGTTTGTATTAATTTTGGGCATATGAAAGAGCGCCATCTGTCTGGGTGCGCGTTTTCCGGACCGTAACAGTCAATTTCCGCGCTAATCGCAACGTTCCGGGTTAATCCGGTTAGCTCTCCGGGACTTGCTTTGTTATTGTATAAATTTGCATGCGTGCCTTCGGTAATCTGAATTTCGGACCGGCGATGGACAATTACTTTCTATTGGACGAGTTTGCATGCACACGTGCGACGAGATGCAAAAATTATTAATAAACAAACGCAAAACTGATTACAAATTACTCTACGAATACCTAAAAACCAGAATTCTTTCAGTTTTACCATTAATGTGCCTTAAACAAGATTTAAGAAAATAATATAATGTTTAATGTTTAATATTCTGATGTTAAACATTTTTATGAGATGATAAATTTTTACGAATTATTTTCTTTATTCTATCAAAGCGATTTTGTATTTCTTGGTCTTGATTTTTTTTCAATTCCTTAAAGAAAGGTTTAAAAAGTCATAGTTTCTTAGTTTTATTTTAATTCAAATATTTGAAACGTTTTCAACATTTTAAGATTTCAAGTAGCTGAAAGGATAAAGATCTTATAAACTGTTGCACATGTTAAGGTTTCCTAATCTTATTTATGATTGTAACACTGTTGCTGAAAAACAAATACGAATCTTGACACATCTGAATTGCATGGGAAGACAACTTGAAGATTCTTTTACTTACTATTTTTTAAGTTCTAGATAATAAAAAAAAGCTACAGTTGCAATTATAAAAATACAAAATTTGAAGATTGAAGAAAAAATTTGAGTTCTGGAAAAAGTTTCGGTTTAAATTTTTTGAGGAAAACTTGTGTTTTCCTGTAGTATTTATTTTATCCTCAATCTATTTAAGTGAGTGTTGTGTCCGTATCACAAAAACATGATCATATAAATAGAACCAAACAAATCACGGACATGGCAAAAATTAGCACGCCCACACCACCGTCACGCCACATATTCCCATGTCATGCAGTTTTATTAATAAAATAAAAATTAATTCAGAAAATGAAATCCGTGTTAAAACATCAAATTAAAAATACGAATAGTTTTCACATCACGCGAGCGAACAAACAGCCCTTTTCGATTACAAACGTCGGATTTAATTATATCCCGAAATGAATGCGAATGCGAAAAACTCATATTATTTAAAGTCGACCCCGTAAAAAATGTAAAAGAAATAGACTGAATA